AATGGAACAGGCAAACCCGGTCAGCACCCCCGGGTATGGAGCAGAACTATCAACCGAGCAGCCTCAAGACCAACTACTCGGAACCGAGGACAAGCAGAGATTCCAGGCCATCACCGGGAGTCTCCTGTACCTTGCCCAATGCACCCGCTACGATCTGTCATACGCAGTGCACCAACTGACACGGGCATGCGCAAACCCAGCACAGGTCCACATGGCTGCGGCCAAGCACCTACTACGGTACCTACGCGGAACGCCGGACCTGCCGATCGTGTACAAGAAGGGGCAGTTCAGACTCTCGTGCTTCACTGACTCGTCATTTGGAGCCAACCCAGACAACCGCAGGTCTCCCACCGGATACCTGTTCTCCCTAGGAGGGGGACTGATCAGCTACGGAGCCAAGGCACAGACTCTCGCAGCACAGAACACCGTGGAGGCCGAGCTTCAAGCGCTGAGCTTCAGTGCTCGCGAGGCAGTCTACATCTCCAACTTCATGACGGAAATCGGATTCAAGACCTTTCGATCGGTACCCATCAACAGCGACAGCACCGGAGCATTGACTGTGGCCAGCAACGCGATGTTCAGCTCTAGAACCAAGCACATCGCGCTCCGGTTCTTCTTTCTTGGGGAACTCACGAAGAGGCACCGGATCACTCTTCACCACCAACCTAGTGCCACGATGTTGGCGGACATCGCGACGAAACATCTCCCGAAGTAGCGATTCGCCACCATCATGCAACTCATCAAGGACTACAAGTTCTAGAAGATATTGAGCACAAGATCGTATAGTATGGTTGAATGTTTTGAACGCGTGTATTGCTCACAGGATGGATTCAGTCATGTGGAGGTCGATTTTCTTTGATATGGATTGGGAATCGAGGGGTCGCAAAAATGGCAGCGAAGTGAAGTTTTGGAACATCGGCTACTTGCCTAATCGAGGGGTCGTGTCGAGGAAAACTGTTACAACGTAGTCAGGCACAGTTTACCATAGGTGCGACTGCGGCAACTAGCCTTCCGTAGACATAATACAGGAAGAAGAGATGGTACTCAGCAGAGAACATGAGCACAGAGTTGTAGCGGAGATAATTTGGCAGGCGAGACTGTAGTTGTTTTATTGTTCCGAACCCCGAAATTCCGGTACTGGGGCCAATACCCCAGAGACCCTCGGAACCTGCTGAGTTATTTTTGCTGCTTGTTTTTTGTTTTTGTTTTGTTGTTGAGATGAGACACAAGCGCGCCTTCGCCCCTTGTGCTCACTCTCATCTAGCACCCATCAAAGCCTGANGAAAGTCTACGAGCTACAACAGCACCGCCACCTCCGCTGCTGCAGGACGCCACATTTTGTGAGGTTTGTAGGTATAGATGAGAGGAGAGCCATCGTCAGGGTGAGTGTGGGCAGCCGAATATTTGCATGCCTCGGCAGATTTTCGCTTTTGGAACAGATTTTTCGTTTTTCCCGTGTTAATTCGGACATTCGCCTGTACATGAATCGACACATTGCTCTGCAAATGACCAGCCCGAGAAGGAGTACTAATGCTGACGCATACACCGCGCCGTAAGGTATGGATAAGTGTTTGTTGCTGCGGTGTATCCATCCGTGTGGGAGCGTACAGCTGGTGCAGTGATGGCCCGCCATTGATAGGCCCGCACCCTTCCGGACAAAATCGGAGATGACCCATGGAGAAAAGATCGGAAAAATTCAGTGATCGGCACGTTTCCACCTGTCAGGTTGTTCGCTTTAAGCTTGTGTTGAATCGCACTTTTTCCTGTACATGAAAGATATTCATGTCCACCCCCCAGAGGGAGTACTGATGCAGATGCATACACCGCACAGCATGTGTGAATAATCGACATGTGTTGCTGCTGCTATTAATCCATCTGTGGGGAGCGTGCAGCTGGCAGTGATTGCCCGCACCCATTCGGAGAAAATCGGTTTGACCTACGAAGGAAAGATCTAGGCCTGTCCTCCATCGGCCGTTTTGCTTGTATGACGGAGAATAAGAAGGTGGAATTACTTGAAATTAGTATATAAATAAAGCTTGTGTATCTAAATCGAAAATATAACGGCCGATGGAGGACAGGCCTACAAAGATCCGAAGAATTTGTTACCGGCTAACGTGTATCTTCCACACACTGCACAATTTCGAACCGGAGGTGAGACTTCAAAGCAACGTCGCGGCCCCGAAGCTATGGGTGAAAAACCACGTTACATAGAAACGTACGCACGCATGGACATACACAGTGTAAAGGCTTCTATGGTGCTACACGGCTTACGAACCATCGAAATGATTCCAAACAACATGCTACCGCGTTCTTTTAGCTTGCCGGGAAACACCTCCTGGTATGCAAGGGGGAGGTTTCAGGAAGTGTTTCGGGAGAACGTATTGTCGCGGAACGCGTTCCCTGGGTTTTGATCCCTTTTTTGCTACTTTGACGGACACGGGCGTTGATGTACCGTCGGGCCTCCTGCGTGCCCCTTAGAAGGAACCGCGAGAAAAGACACGCTGGGGCGAGAGAAAGAAATGTCGAGGCACGAAAAGTGACCAAATCTAAGATGTATACATATATATATATGGTATATATTTGAAGAAGTCGCTCGTTCGGTGCCCTGTCACTGAGCGCGAGGCTGGCTTCGGCTACCGCCGCACTTTCAGTAGGTCAGTCGGATCCAGAGCACAAATTCAACAATGATTGTTGCTGGTGCGGTGTCCTGCTACTGAGCGTGCGGCAAATCAAATTACAACAAAGCTTGAAGTAGTCGCTTGTACGGTGCCCTGTTCCTTAACGTGCGGCTGGCTTCGGGGACCGTCGCACTCTCAATAGGTTTTTCGGATCCGGAGCGCCATTGATGATAGCTACATCTACGGTGCCACCTCACAGAATGTGGCGTCCTGCAGCAGCGGAGGTGGCGGTACTGCTGTAGCTCGTAGACTTTGTAGTCTACCACAGAGGTTACACTGCTGTCACCGCTCTATCACAGAGGTTGGTCTACACTGCTGTGAGATCGGTAGGCCCGAGCGAGCTCTGGAAAGAGAAATGTAGATAGATTTTCTTATCAACTGACTCCCTGGTCAGGCTTTGATGGGTGCTAGATGAGAGTGAGCACAAGGGGCGAAGGCGCGCTTGTGTCTCATCTCAACAACAAAACAAAAACAAGAAACAAGCAGCAAAAACACAGCAGGTTCCGAGGGTCTCCGGAGTAATGGCCCGAGTACCGGAATTTCGGGGTTCGGAACAATAAAACAACTAGAGTCTCGCCTGCCAAATTATCTCCGCTACAACTCTGTGCTCATGTTCTCTGCTGAGTACCATCTCTTCTTTCTGTATTATGTCTACGGAAGGCTAGTTGCCGCAGTCGCACCTATGGAAAACTGTGCCTGACTACGTTGTAACAGTTTTCCTCGACACGACCCCTCGATTAGGCAAGTAGCCGATGTTCCAAAACTTCACTTCGCTGCCATTTTTGCGACCCCTCGATTCCCAATCCATATCAAAGAATATCGACCTCCACATGAGTGAATCCATCCTGTGAGCAATACACGCGTCCAAAACATTCAACCATATGCGATCTTGTGCTTAATATGTTCTAGCACTTGTAGTCCTTGATGAGTTGCATGATGGTGGCGAATCGCTGCTTCGGGAGATGTTTCGTCGCGATGTCCGCCAACATCGTGGCACTAGGTTGGTGGTGAAGAGTGATCCGGTGCCCCTTCGTGAGTTCCCTGAGGAAGAAGAACCGGAGCGCGATGTGCTTGGTTCTAGAGCTGAACATCGCGTTGCTGGCCACAGTCAATGCTCCGGTGCTGTCGCTGTTGATGGGTACCGATCGAAAGGTCTTGAATCCGATTTCCGTCATGAAGTTGGAGATGTAGACTGCCTCGCGAGCACTGAAGCTCAGCGCTTGAAGTTCGGCCTCCACGGTGTTCTGTGCTGCGAGAGTCTGTGCCTTGGCTCCGTAGCTGATCAGTCCCCCTCCTAGGAAGAACAGGTATCCGGTGGTAGACCTGCCGTTGTCTGGGTTGGCTCCAAATGACGAGTCAGTGAAGCACGAGAGTCTGAACTGCCCCTTCTTGTACACGATCGGCAGGTCCGGCGTTCCGCGTAGGTACCGTAGTAGGTGCTTGGCCGCAGCCATGTGGACCTGTGCTGGGTTTGCGCATGCCCGTGTCAGTTGGTGCACTGCGTATGACAGATCGTAGCGGGTGCATTGGGCAAGGTACAGGAGACTCCCGGTGATGGCCTGGAATCTCTGCTTGTCCTCGGGTCCGAGTAGTTGGTCTTGTGGCTGCTCGGTTGATAGTTCTGCTCCATACCCGGGGGTGCTGACCGGGTTTGCCTGTTCCATTCCGTATCGCTGTAGGATATCTCTCGCGTAGGGTCCTTGCGATATGGCTAGTGTGCCATGTTCGTAGTCCCGCTGCACTTCGATGCCGATTACGCGCTTGACCTCTCCCATGTCTGTCATTTCGAAGCTGTCCATGAGTTCCTTCTTTTTCCTGCTTACGATCTCCTTGTTTCCGCCCGTGATGAGGATGTCATCGACGTAGATCGCGAGGATTGTGAGTTCGTCCCCGCTTACGAAGATGTAGACACAGGGGTCAGAGCGAGTGCGCTGCCAGCCGAAGATGATGAGTCTGTCATTGATGGCGTCGTTCCACAGTGACGGGGACTGTGACAGGCCGTACAGACTTTTCTCCAGTTTGTAGACCATCATTTCACCTGTCGTAGGGTCCCTCTCCTCGTCGCCTGGCGCCGGCCTGACGTAGACGTCTCTGTCGGTGTACGCGTTCAGGAATGCAGCTACCACGTCCAATTGGTACACCTCCCATCCGTGTTCGCAAGCGATGGCGAATAGCATGCGGATGCTACCCAATCGGGTTACTGGAGCGTAGTTCCTTCCGAAGTGTCGTCCTGCTCGTTGGCGGTGTCCCCCCGCGACTAAGCGGGCCTTGAAGCGGCTGTCGGCCTTGATCTTGAACACGAAGCGTGTGTCGAAGATGTCCTCATCCTTCGGTACCAGGCTGATGCGTACTTTCTTAAAGACTTTGTTCTTGGCGAGATTACCCATCTCGGTGTCGATAGCGCTCTTCCACTGCTCGCGTTGTGGTGAGTTCATGGCTTCGGTGTACGTGCTCGGAGTTTTGATCTCTTGGTTTGTCTCCCCCAAGAACCCTTTGCTCGAGGTGCCCGTGGCGTAAGCATACGCCCGGACTTCGGCGAAGGGGTCTTCATCCAGGTGAGCAAAATCCGCCGCGTCAGTAGGGCATCGTTGCTGCGCTTGGTGGGTGAGATCGAGTAGTTGATCCTCGGTGAGCTCCAGTGGGTCGGGGTGGCTGACAGCCATGGCAGAGCGGCCTCTGTCGTTCATGTTCACTTCCAGAGATTTCGGGATGCATGAAGGGTCGATAGGGTCATCTGTGGGTTGGTGAGTGCGCGTGGCAGGACGGGTCACCGTTAATCGACGCATTGGGATGGGGGCTGGCGAAGCGGAGTCCGTGTCTGTTGGCGTCGTGGGTGATTCGAGTGTCGTGTCCTGCGATGTCCTGGATGGTGTCGTAGTCCGCGGGTTGTTGTTGCTGTCAGCTCCCCCAGCAGCAAAGTAGTTGTCGGAATCCATGCCCGCGTTGTTTTGGCGAAGTTCTGCTCGGCTGATGTTGTCTTGCTGCATGTTGCGCATCTCGTGCAGCAGGAGCTCTGATTGTGTTCCGTAGTCCACTTTGTTGTCTTCGTCGCCCGTAGAGGTACGGCGTCCGAGCAATGACGTGAAGTTCATCACGTCCTGTTCATATCCGAGACGGTCGTCCCACCGGTGAGGGGGGATGG